AACTCAATTCCGTTGTCTCGCAAAAGCCCGCCCATGACGGCTAGCCTATGCCCAGGCGGCGGCTGGCACTGCACACGGCCACGAAGGTACTCATGCGAAACATAATAGCGGTCCATGACGCAGAAATTTACGTCTTGCCCAATTGGCCGGCCGTCGAGGAAAAAGACCGCCGGCAATGGCCTGTTCTGCTGGTCACGGGTGTAACTGCGTCCTAGGACTGCGATAACTCCCCGCACGTGAGTCCCGTGATAAACGTAGGAAGCCAGGCCAGCGGCCGAAACAAGTCTAGACTCAGACATCTCCACTCCAACGAAGTGTGTCACACGCAGCGCATTCTGCCAGTCACACTGCACGAAGTCGCTGAACAGGTACTTACCTGACTCATGCAGGATGAGGACACACAGAGCCCTGGCTGTAGAGGGAATCGCGTCGATGCTGAGCCATGGTGTGGGCCTGTGTAGAGACCTTGAGAGCGGCGGGCCCCACAAGGGCAGGTGACGCAAAGGTGCAAAGCATAGCGTATCACCTTCCTCAACCTGCACAATTTGGCCCCTTTGGAGTGGCTGCAGACAGCCTGCGAGAAACACCTCAAAAGGCTCAATGACTGTGGGGCCGGCGACCCGTTGTATTGCTTCCAGGCTTGTCTGTCGGGGCAACACATCTGCAAAAACTTTCCCCGTCATGGCCCGGACATCGAAGAGTACAGCTGAGAGGCCTGCCTGCTGAAACCAGTGTGGGACTACAAGCAGAGTGGCTGAACTATCGCTTAGCTGCGGTGTGGCGGGCACAAGTTTGTTCCAACAAGCATCAAGCGGCACCGGCGCAGCTTCATAAATTTTGTCCATAAAGGTTTCTAAGGAGACAGGCAGGTCAAGGATGATCTCGGTCGTGACCAACCTATGGCCTGGGGGGCACAACGTGACGCGCGCAGGGACCTTGATTCCAGGCGAAAGGACACATAGTCCGTGTTGTGCCTGAAGGCAGCAGGAGGCACCCTTTGAGGCAATATCGGCTTCCACGGAGGCTCGGTATTCAGGAGTCGTCATATCAGCCGGTACACAGGCCTGGGGTTCAGACGGGGGCTTAGGGCTGTCATCACTAGGGGGGGGCAGTGCTTCTGGGCCCGAAGCTTCACACGGGCGTGTGCTGGGTGTGCTTTGCCCTACCCCATGATTCGAGCCTGTGGCTCCACCGCTAACCTCGTTAGGCTCGCCCGGATCGGGCGTTAACACTGCATAAGCCTCGGTGAGGGCAGAGGCGAGCTCAGGTGGGACGGCCCAAACCTGTGTAGGCAAAACCCCTAGCCAAAGCAGAAAGCTAACCCACAAGGGAACGCTAAAGGTATGCCGTCGGTTGGATCTCCTCTGCCGCTGCATGGCCTTATCGGCGTGGCTAGGGCTGCCAATGTATCCCCAAGGCAAGGCCAGGCCGGCTGGGACAGAGGCACACGGTACACTAAGCAGGCTCACCAAGGGAGAGCGTCCACCAGGTATCGCAAAAAGCACAAGTCGCCAGAGGGCCAGCAAGTGCAGGGCGGCGAGGGCAAGCAGAAAGGCTGCAGCAAGGTGGCCTCCCCACAAAACTAACGAAAGACGCCAAGAGGGGATGGTTTGAAAGGAGCTGCTGACAGGAGGAGACCCCAGAGCCACCGATGTCTCTCTTTGGCCCCTGCCGCAGTAGAAAAGGAGGACATTGCAGTTGTCAAAAGGAGCAGCGGCCTGGATTAGAGACAGGCTCCACCCGTCGGAAGCCGATTCAAAAATCCCCGGATCACTCACATAGGGAAAAGTCTCGGGGAAAACCGGCCAAAGCAAAGCATGGGAAGGGGGCGGGCAAGGAGGAGGTCCCAGAGCCACCGATACCTCTCTTAGGCCCCTGACCCTAACACCCCAATCCCTGCCAGGCAGGCCCCTGTGTGGAAACAAAGGGCACCTGATACGTGTAAAGAAGACTCGTGCCCCGATCCCTGCAAAACTGGGAAAGGGGGAAGGGCAACAGATGCCACGAGGAGAGTCTTCACTGTGGCGTGCCTTAGAACCAAAGACGGATGGCAGAGCAAGGCCTGGCGGTGGAGGGTGTAGAATGAAAAACCTGCATAAATCCAGCAGGGAGGCCTGCGACCTCAGCACACAAAGCAGAGAATGCTTGCAGAGCTGGATGAGATAGAGAAGCCCAAGGCGAAAGCCAGGAGGAGGGGATGGATCAGGACTCGCAAACGGGGTGGCCAGAAAAGAGAAAAACTGTACAGCCCACTGTACAGAATCACTGCTACTGACCTCGGGTTGCTCCAGCCAGGAATAGGAACCCTGTGGTTCACTGCCATCGCCGCCACATCTGCANNCGGCGAGCTCGTCGTCGTTGTCGTCTTCCACGATGCGGACTGACCGACCAGCTGCAATCGCAGCTTGAGCAGCCTCCAGGCTCAAGCCGCACTCTGCAGCCGTACCGTCTGCTTCCCCAGCTGCCCTGGCTCCACCAAAGGGCTCCAATGCCCGCCGCCGATGCACTCGCGGTCTCTCAGAGTCGGGCTTGGACCAAAGCCTCCATCCGAGGTTGGGGCCGCAGCCGGCGCACCGGAGTCCACAAGGGCCACAGGAGCCAGTGGAGGGGCCGCAGTCACGTGTGTTGCCCCAGCGGGTAGCGCGGTATAGGCCGCTGTCGGGGCTAGCGGGGCTTGTGGTGTCCCCGGATTCGGCATAAGTCCAGGAGGCGCGGTCATCGGCGATGTGGTAGCCAGATATGGATCCACTGCGGCAGGTGGTGGTGTCGACGTAGGAGCCGCGCCCCAGACTGGCGAGTGTGGCGGAACTCCCGTGCCCCTCGTCGGTGTGTGGGGGGGGAGCCCTCCACGGCCAGCTGCGGCACCGGGTGGTGCAAGGGCCCTTCGCAAAACACCGTCTGCTGCAGCTTGATCCTCCCGAGCCCAGGCCGCAAAGAGCTGGTCCACATCGGCGTCGGCGGCCATCTCCACGTCGTAGCCACCAACAGCCAGGGACTGCTCGCTCACAAAAGCAGCCCGAAGGCCTCGTCTTGCAGCGTCCTGCGCGAGCTCCGCTTCCGCAATCTCTCGCTCCAGACGCTCCTGGTCCTTGGCGAAGCGCAGCCTCTCTCGTTTGAGGGCCTCTTTGAGCTTCAGCTCGTAGTTCTTCATCTTTTCTCCTGCCTCCTGCTGGGCACCACGCAG